GGACCGCAGCGGGTGTAATTCCGTGCATTTACATGATGACAGCACACCGAGCGCGGGAGCGGGTGTTGTAGTCCACATAAAAACACAGAATTGGAATTTATATGGACGACAACAGCCGCCCCCGCGCTCGGTGTGTTGTCGTCCAAAATCAAAATAATCTTTATTTCATATATAAGCATTATTACACTTGAAATCGTGACATTGGTTAAACTCTACCGCTCATTCGTATGGCAGATTGAGAAGAATGAGCAAGAAACTCTAGGTTGCTCTTTGTAAATAACATTTGTATACATTCAACATTTACAATATTTTTTTTTTTGTTTTCAAACATCAGAGATCGAGACTATCTCCATGAGCTAAACGGGTTAACTACCACGGATTTTTGTCATCCAAGTACGCAGAAATTGTGTAATAACCTTTAGTATAAAGTTTTTGTTTCACTACAGTTTTAAACCTCGTGAATGGCACATTTTGTGTATCAACCGGAAATCTTGTTATAGAAACGTATACATTGACCCTTAAATGATTTTTTGACTTTGTGAAGACGACTATCAAGAAAAGCTAGTTTATTTTTATTCCTCGTATTAATGTTATGTCTGTCACTATTTTTCATAAAGAAATTACTATTCCTCTTAACACAAATTACATTTTCATTAATTTCCTTAAACTTATCTTTCGAAGACACTCTGGGGTCGAGATTGTAAATTGCCTATAAATACACGGAATTAGGCCCGCCGCGGTCTCGACCCGATCAGCGCCCGAACCGCACCCGACTTGCACCCGCTCTCCGTGTGTTCCACGCCCTATGGTCCGTCTTTTTTGAAGACTGAATAAAATGACATTTGTGACGTTCCCAGTTTTCATAAAATTTTAAATAGTCATGTAGTTGTTCTCGATAGCTTTATCGATAGATTGTGATAGAAATATATAATTTTTCAACGTTGCAACGTTCTAATGATTATTAAATGCGAAAATCATGTAACCTAACTGCTCGTGAAGCATAATATTTGTACAAATACAGGCCCTTTTGGGGTAAATTCCTTTTTTACCACGTCTAACCTGGATGTAATTTAAGCATCGGGTGTATATAACCACAAATAGAGACGAAATGTCATTTAATTTGTTTTAAAACTATTATGCCAAATCATTACGGTGACAACTGCGCTCCGATTGGCTAACCCGAATTTGAAACAATTGACGGGTGTCGTCAATTGTTGCCCTTCAAATCTTGCAGTTTAACTTAAGCTATTTAATTACCGCTGAAATGTGATTCCGTTTGTTTTGTAATTAGATGTTTTGCTGTTTTTCCCAGGCTACCGAATGGAACAGCCCCAACTGTTAGATATTATCTTAATTACAATAAATATTTTTAGAATATACGGAGACGTATACACAGGTCAGTTGTTATTGCTATTTCAGCTTTCTAATTTGTGATTTCGGCGCAAACGACAGTTGATATTAAAAAATGATATAAGGCCCACTTGCCTGATAAGTTGCCTAGGTTGGATGGCCCTTATTTCGTCTGTATTTCTGGTTATATATTCGATGAATTTAAGTAGGGAGTGTTTTTATGTGTCTGTACCTGTATTTATACCGTTAGTTTGTTTTGTTACAGCCTTTACTCAAAACGGGGGGGTCACAGATCTACTGGTAAATCAGTAGAACCTGGCAACACGGATTCCGTCTGTCCAACAATGGACTGGCTATTATTAATTTACAGGAAGCCGGCGCCATCTATCGGATACGTAGCTTAATTAGTTTGATTTTCTCACTCCTTTCCTATTACGTATTCTAACCCACTATGTATAATCGGTTCCAATCTATTGTACCAGAAAAGTAAACAAACAGATCATTGACACGACCATGGACAGTTTAGTGATGGCCAACTGTACCGCCAACTACAAATCGTAGGTTTGCTAGGTGTACTGACGACGTCAAACTTGTTGTTCAAGGCGTACTGTCAGTCATTTTATACATGTAGCCTATGGGTCAATTACACCCAAAAAGCTCTAAGCTCCCTCCGTGTGTTGTATAATTTATTCAGGATGCTGTTGAAGATGCCTCGATTTTGCAGTGCATCGGGAATGTTCGTCGTGACTCGCTTAGATGGCTTTTCAGCTATCATGCGAAAAAGGGCGGCTTCTTTGTTGCGCAGGATTCGGGGCGGCGATAACAGCCTCCTGAGTATAATTGCAAACAGTGTACAGGGTTGCTTCCTAGATCACTGGTCTAGGATGCACATTGGTTTTGTGGCCTATAATAATAAATAGTAAAATAAGCAATTTGTAATACTAACCCTATTTTTAAGTGTTTTGTTACTAACCCTTATGGACTTAGTCCGAAATAAAGAAATTTATTATTATTATTATTATTAAATCGATTAATTAATTGAACGAATCGATTTGTTTAATTGAATCAGTCGGAATAACTGGGTTTTATATCTAGGGTCGGGGAACTAAAGGACATAAGTCAAAAACCAACGTCATTCATTTAAAATAATACATCTACCGACTTAAGGACATAACGATGCCTTATTTTCTGAAACTCGTATCTTAAAAAGTGTGATAATTCATGAGACGACAAAACTTTCTATTTATTTTAAATTTCTTATCAAGTGTGTTAATTGGACGTAGTTAAAACAAAAAGGATCCAATCCACATCCAGTCATTTTCGAGATATGGCAGTTTGAAATTTAAACGTGTTTCTAAGTCTTGTTTTATTTTAAAAAGTTATAATGTCATATAACTCCAGGGTCATTTATTTAAGTTTATATGTGGATTTTTTGCTGATCTAAGCGGTTAAACTTTAGGAACCGTTTGGTACATGTAACTAGTTTTTTGATAATTTTGTGGATTGGATCCTTAATACAATACATATATTTGAAATCAACCTGCGAAAGTCAACATAATCCATCTTTTGCATTTCAGTATCTTTGTGCTTTAAGATACCGCTTTAAAAAAGTAAGGCGACGACAAGTCAAATTCGTTTGTTACTGCATTACTCTGCAACTTAAATTAGTAATCTAGTGGCATTGACTTACAATTATATGGACGTCGGTTCCCGCTAAAAAGTGTCCGAACTTGTAAGGCGTTAAAATCGTATACAGAGCGTCAAACTCCGCGTTAGTCTTCATTTGCTCGACTGACAGCGCGATACTGCGATGACATTACAATTTAAATTTCGAATAGGTTGACTTGGGACATTTTTTTCGTGGTTTTTGTATTAGACCCGTCGTCCATTTATTTGTAAGTCAATGTCTAGTGGCGTCGTTTTCATTCTCTTCACATCTTACACAAATCATAAACAACACAAAAAAAAATTATAACTAACTAAAAAAATAAACTTATGTGCTTTAGTCCACCGACCCTAGATATAATAAAATGGGTTTTGCGATTTCGCTGCTGATATTAAAAAAATATGTAATTCAAGGTTACCTATCCGTAGTCCGAAATTACATTTTCCAGAAACGTTTGGTCGAAATTTCATAACCTCGAAAGTGATTTTGAGAGGAAAATGTTTTTCTTTTAAACCTAACCTAACCGAACCTAATTGTGCCTTTGTGATAAACATTCAACATATCCTGAAAGAACAACTGTTTCGTTATAATTCGGTTTTCGGTGCAATTTTCATTGCAAACAAACGTAACTTCGGATTAAAAAATTTTCGACTTTGTAATAGGTTACCGTTAGTCAATACTGAATGGTGATGCTTCACACATGAAAATAGATTTTTTTTACATAACCTATATAAGCAAATTGAAAATTGTCGAATTACAAATTTTTTAATTCTCCGTAAAATCCTTACACTTACTCTACTTTAATTTTCGATTCACTGATCGATTACAAAAACTTTAGTTCAATAAACCGAATGAATTATATCCGTACAGCCCTATGCAACCATAGAGTATTCACAAATCTATATTTGAGAAATAACCTCATTTTAAACTAACATTTTTCATATAAGATTTTAATATGTTATTCAAATGAATATTTTCAAGGGAATTTTCTTTGTGTTCGATCTTAGTATTAATAATTATAACAAACTAGTGAAGTTATTTCATAGAACTATATTTTATGAATATCACGATGGTTTACAGCGTAAAATTCAATAAAAATATATGTATATTTTTTATAATAATAAATTTCAAATAATAAACAAAATCTACAACGTGCTTTCCTTAACACATCTAGTTATTGCCGATATGTGTACACTACGCTTGCGAGAACGCACGATGCTCTTGCCCAGTATGTTATGTTGGTTGAGTCAAAACTACCCACCTTTTAAAAATGTCATATTTGTATTACATAGACTTTATGCATTTAGCGCTTGTCGCACAACGTACTGTGTTTATAGCTTATGTAATGTTACTATATTTAAGTTTCTCATTTAAGTGAATGTATAATTCCTTTGGAAAAATAAATTCTTAAACCAATATTGATGAAAAAAGTAATGAGATATCAAGTCGAGATCTTGAAAATATACGTGAAAGTGTTACTTATTCCATTTATTGAGTGATTGCTTTAGAACTTTAACCAAACCGGTTTATTTACATTTCTGGATTGGAACAGACTTTAGTTATAATATAGCAGGATAGATGGCGCTGATCTCCTTGATAGTTCCTTTTCTTGCCGTGTGTCGCTAGCATATAAGACTTCGTAGCTGCCATTATTCATATCGACCCCTCCCACGTAAAGTATCGTATGTCGAAATTGCCAAGTTTACAGTGGAGCCTTTTAAAGTTCTGAATTCACTGAAATAAGCATAATACGTGACTTTAGCGTTTCTCAGTTATATTCGGCAAAGGTCGTTACTCACATAGAGTATTATAAAATTCTAGATATCGGTAAGATGATCATTAGATGATTACTCTATGTGAGCAACGAGCTTTGCCGAATGAAACGGAAAACTTTATAACACTTCCCTGTAAACTTGGCAATTTCGACATACGATACTTTACGTAGGAGGAGTCGATATTAGAACAAGAACGATAGACATCGTATTGCATTTTTCTTCTCATCTCCTCAACTTCATCCGGAAGAATCAAGCTTCGATAAAACACGGACGGAGTTATACTATTTGTCGTATTATACTATGCTTTTAACATCATATTTTCTTACTTAGTTGTGTTATAATAATTCTCTATCATGTACAATTGAAATCTTCAACCTATGCCTTGGCCACGTGAGTGTGAGCGGGACAACACATTGTTCTTCGGTTTCGCTTTCGCTGCCCGATTCAGAATCTGTCTCGGCTAATTTGGATAGTTGTGACACTTGTTTGGACATGTCTTGGGCTAAATCCTTCGGTATTACCATCTGCAAACAAAAAAATTTGTAGTTGAAACAGGTTTGCCTGTGTTTGCTACTAGATGGCAGTCGGTGTGTAGAGACAGCGCCATCTGTTAACAGTTTTATTAATCATCAAGTTCACTCATGTTGCATTGCACAAAACTGATATCATTATGCGATACGATGTTGCTATTGCATATAATTCAATGACAAAACCAGATCGATTGTGGGACTATGAATAAGAAATGAAATGCTGCACAATTCGACCCCTCCCGCGTAAAGTATCGTATGTCAAAATTGCCAAGTTTGCAGGGGAGCCTTTTAAAGTTCTGAATTCACTGAAATAAGCATAACACGTGACTTTAGATTTCTCACTTTTATTCGGCAAATCTCGTTACACACGTTGAGTATCATAAAATCCTAGATATCGGTTAGATGATCTATTAGATGATCACTCTATGTGAGTAACAAGCTTTGCCGAATGAAACGGAGAACTTTAAAACACTCCCATGTAAACTTGGCAATTTCGACATACGATACTTTACGTAGGAGGCGTCGAATTAATATCAGCGCAACAGGGGTGTAACTAGTGTTAGGTTATGGAAAAATTTCCATTAATAAAAAATCATATTTGCCAGAGAAACAAATATTTTTCCGGATATTTTTCCAATATTTTTCCTTTGATTTTCACATTTGACGTCAAAAGTTGAAGTTACTGAACGAAAGCGATGGAGCGAATAAAAAGGCTTTTTTTCCGCTGTTGTGAAATTATTTTAATTTTAATATCTCGTTTATCTCTAAGTAACTTTCAGCCATAGAAGTTTATTTTATAATTCACGCTATTTGACAAATTTACACTATTTGAAATGTTTCGGAAAATTACGGTTCTCCTTATCGATTTGGATAACAGGGACCCTCTGAGATTACTTCCTAGCGTGTGCCCTAATATGACTCGCCATACCGAATTTTGTCTCACAAATCACAAACAAAGCAATAAAGTTGACCAGCCGAGTTGAAAGTATATGTATAAGAGGGCTTAGGTCTCTCTTTACTCATTTGGCGTTTTTCGTTTAATGTTTCGATTCGTTTTTACATTTTGGAAAATTTTCGGAAAATTACCCTGTAGGTGCGACCCTCATACCTTTTTCTACAACACTACTTTAAATTATACTAAATAAAATAGAATTAGAATGCTATTTTGATGTATAAAAAAAATAATAATTAAATATTTGAAATAAACTTTGTACTCAAACTGCTCTACGAGAGTAGTAGTGTTGGATCTATTAACGATTTCAAGTGTTATTTCTTTACCTATGGAACATAATATGGTTTGATTTAAGTTTTAAACAACAGATGGCGCTATTTATGAGTTTTGTTTACCTATGGAATATAATATTGTTTGTTTTAAGTTTTAAATAACAGATGGCGCTATTTATTAGTTTTGTTTACCTATGGAGTATAATATCGTTTGATTTAAGTTTTAAATAACAGATGGCGCTATTTATTACAACTATGTAACTAAATCATACGTCAACATGCTATACGGCCGGGGTCTTGTGAGCGGGATATCAGATTACACTAGAGTTGTCACAATAAAAAGTAAATTGACTCAAAAAGATATGTTAACAAAATCATGTATTGATCATATTTTCATGAGATCCCGTATACAAGATGTTTACTCGGCCGTGCTATGCACTGTACTGGCGGACCACAGAATGACAGTAGTGTCGCTTATTCGTACATCGCAGTCAAGGCCTATTCCCATTTACGCTAATAAATATAATCAAGAAATATTGAAAGCGGAATTGTCTAAAATTGATTGGAATAAAACAAATAACATGGTCTGCCCTAATAAAATATACGAATTCATAAATAGAAATATAAATGAGTGTCACAAAAAAGCTGAATATAGTTACAAAGTCAGTACATCAAAGCGCAGCAGGGAGCCATGGATTTCGAAAACAATACAGCAAGAATGCTCGCGAACAGACGAACTTTTTCATAAATGGATAAAAGAACCTAAAAATATGATTAATAGAGTAAATTACAAAAAGCAACGGAATAAAACACATAAATTAATTGAAAATAACAGAAACAAATATTATAATAAAGAAATTTATAGGTTAAAAGGTAATCCACAAAAAATGTGGAATTTGTTAAATCGTATTTCAGGTAAAATTTCGAATTCTATTGACAATATAATCTTAAAAGCATTTGGTACTGAAGAAAAAGTAATAGCTAACAAATTTGCCTATGAATTCCAGAACAATGTGAGAAATATATTACCAAACTGTAATAAAAATCTTTTAAACGAAACTCAATTTAGAAAACCTCAAAATCTATCTTTACTATGTAGACAAGCTACTGCAGATAAAATATATAAAATCATAGGAAATTTGAACACCAAAAAGAGTCCAGGTATAGATGGGATACGCGCTTTAGATATTAAATTGACTGCGGAAAAAATCTGCGTAGCCATAGCAAACCTTATAAATGTCAGCTTGAAATCGGGTATATATCCGGATCAACTCAAAACAGGCATGATTAGACCTATACACAAAAGCGGTTCCCATAACGACTATTTTAAATACCGTCCTATAACTATGTTACCAACTATCGATAAGGTAATTGAGAAATATTTCAGTGAACAAATCTATAATTTCTATAGTGAGAATAATATACTATCTGGAACACAATATGGATTTCAACCAAAAAAGAGTACCACACTTTTATTATCGAGATTCACAGATGATATAAACGATCACTTGAATGCTAGGAAACATGTTCTGTTGGTATTTATTGATTATAGTAAAGCGTTCGATACCTTGCGACATGACACTTTACTAAATAAATTAAGCGACACCGGTGTGCGTGGTCCTTTACTAGATTGGTGTAAAAGTTACCTTAATAACCGAACTTACAGGGTTAAAATAGGGCAGTCATATAGTGATAAAGTTGAAATCACTGAAGGCACAGCGCAAGGATCGGTACTCGGTCCACTTCACTACTTAGCATATGTAAATGATATTAATAATGTCATAAAAACAAGTCAGGTTTATCAATATGCCGATGACACGTGCCTCATCTCCGCGCATAAACACCTTGAGACTGCAAGGAGTCGACTACAAGAAGATCTCAATCGAGTGTGCCAGTGGTCACATGATGCCGGTCTAGTACTCAATACCGAAAAAACTAAAATTATGCATGTGCACTCTAGTCATAACCCGAGCTCGGATTCAACTGACGTCATAGCGCATACTCACGAATGCTTGCATAGCATAGCTAAATGCAGATGTCCGCCATTAGAGAAAGTGAATCAACAGACTTATCTTGGTATCATTATTGATAATAGATTTAAATGGGATAAGCATATAAAAAAAGTTTGTGACAAACTTAGAGTCATTTTAGCTAAATTCTATGTTATTAAGAATAAAGTGCCTTACTCAGTAATGCTAAACATGTATAATGCTCTTGCAGAAAGTATTATTTCGTATGGACTTACAAGCTATGGTAGAAGTTATAAAACCTATCTGGATAATATTCGAAGTCTTCAGATTAGAATTTTAAAATTAATAATACCCTCAAAAATAAAAAAACTCATTACATATGACGAAGAAATTTTTAAAATTTGTAAAATTATACCTATACATGATAAATTTAAACTTCAAATTCTCAGTGAGCAATACTTTAGAACAGAAATTCAGAAACCTATTATACACAGTAAAATGACTAGGCAAGCTAATAAAAAACTACTCACAATTCCAAAATATTTAAATGTGTACGGTAAACGAACTTCAAAATATATAATCCCAAATCTCATAAATAATCTACCTACTGAAATTAAAAATAACATAACCGAAAAAAACATTAAATATGTACTTAAAAAATATATACTAGAAAACTTATAGTGTAATTAATTAGTTCTCGTAATTTGTAAAGGCGAAATGGGAATGGCCCGTGTAAAGTATATGGTGACCGACCGGTTTCGCGAGTGTGGAATGCACGGCTCGATGCTTACTGACCGTACGAATTTTTATTGTGTTCGGATGTACTAAATAGTTTAATTTTTTCATGAAATACCCACATGTTGTATTATATGTCAATATGATCTAATTAGGTATATGCTAGAATTAAGTGTGTGAAATAAATATTAAGCGTAAGGATAGAATATGAGCTCACCAGTATTGAGTCAAACCAGCTATGGTTTTTACAATACTGTATGCATTAGTAATGTCATTGATATGTGTGTTAAATAAATAAATAAAATAAAATAAAAAATAATTAGTTGGGTAGAAGACAAAACATGACCACTCTCGTTCACTTATAAGGCTTTGAACTGTTTTACAGACAGGTCTGTTCTCATGGGTCTGTTTTATCAAAATAAAATCCGTTTATACTTTCAAAAATAAACTCAGAGAGCACATTTTAATATTTTAATGCAAAATATGTCTGGAGGGAAGAAGACAGAGTGAACTATTTGAAAACCACTGTAGGCATATGGCAATTTTACTTTTCTATTAGTTATGTTATTTATGTTGTACTTATTTTAATTCGCGTTCACATTTTTTATTTTCTTTTTAAATTTTATGTTATTTTTTTTTATCGGCCACTTCGAAAAGCTTCCACTGAAAATTGGCGCAGTGGCTCCGCCGCAATATTTGGGCCCTTTTCAGTACAATACACTTTAAGCGTAATATTGTACTAACATGTTTTTGTGCTGAATAAATTTAATGTCTTTCATTCTTTATTAACATTTCGTAGTATAACTTACGCTTGTAAACAATAGATGGCGCTGTATTAAAAGTACAAGAACTTACCTGTAGCCAGAATCCTTTGGAGACGTAAGGACGTGTTACGTCTGCGAAAGAGCCTCCCACTTTGGGAGAGAGCATAGTGACGGCCCGTTGGCCCGCTCGCCACGTGAAATGGCGGTCGTGGAGTATTCGCCCGCTGAAAATAGACAATACATTAAGTGTCGCGTGAATGGCGTGACATTACAGTCCATTTATATATATACATAATTTCATTAAGAAATAATATATCGATAATATTAACCTTAAAACTAAGTCCAAACTTATGGTACCACAATTTCGTTTAACCAAGGTAAACGATTCTTTTATGGGAAACTGTATATGTTTTTACAATAAGTAGAAGTGTTTTAATTGCAAAGTCATATTACAAAATTGAAGACTATGTGTTAGATAAAAATGTATGGAAAGACGACACGGCTCCAGAATCCACACAAATTTGATTCAAAGTGTATTCCATAGCATTTAAGTTTATTTGAAAAGAGCAATCCCTAGAGTTTCTTGCTCGTTCTTCTCAGGGAAGTCAGCGCAGTGAACGAGCAGTAGTGACGTTTTCAAGTATAAATTTATTTTACCTATGGAATAAATGATTCTTTGTACTTTTGCAACTACCATAAACGGAACATAAATAAACATAGATAAAGCGGACACTTACTCAATGGCTAACGGTAGCAAACTGGCACCTTCGGCGTTTAAAAATAAATGGACTCCTTCTAAATGTTCAATGCTATCATCTTCCACTCCTCGCCATGAGCCCTGGTAATTAAAAAAATATGTGTAATAAAAACAAAAATAATCATGATTTATTTATATTTTGGGAAATAAATCCACTAGTTTATTATAAACACAAAGAAAAAATCCTTCAAACACGAACAGGACTCCAAACTACGACCACGGGATTCCGTGCCAATTGCTTTGCCAACCAAGCTACAGGTCGAGTTTACTAAGTCTTCGAATTTCTTCTATATGCCTGTTGTAGATACCGTAGCGACTATATACCGTAGCGACATCTGTGAGAGGTTTTTTGAACCTTGTCACTCGCCCCCATGAGTAT